ACTTAGGGGCTAAGAAAATAGTACAACTAATAAATATGAATTACTTCTAATACCATCCCTTAATTCATATTCCATCAAAACTTGTAACACCAATTCCATCCCTTAGTCTGAGAAATTGATCAGTCTTGATAGCTTTCGTCAGAACATCTGCCAACTATTTCTGAGTGCTACAATGTACAACTTCTAACACTCCACTCTGAACTTGATGTCTCAGAAAATGATACTTTGTCTCAATATGCTTGCTTCTCCCATGCAACACTGGGTTTCTGGCAAGATTGATTGCAGACTTGTTGTCAATCATCAACTTCAGAGGTTTGTTTATTTTAATCTTCAGATCCTGCAACAGATTCAGAATCCACACAGCTTGGCATGCAGTAACAGCACCTGCAATGTATTCAGCTTCACAGGTTGATAATGCCACAACAGGTTGCTTCTTGGAACACCAAAAAATGGGACCTCCCAGAAATTTGAACAAGTACCCAGAGGTACTTCTTCTGTCAACTCTCTCTCCACACCAATCAGAATCTGAATAACTCAGAAGTTCTGACCCATCCTTTCTTCCAGAAGGAAACAACACTCCATACTTCAAAGTTCCCTTGATATACCTCAGAATCCTGACATCAGCTTGGTAATGGGACCACTTAGGTTTACTCATGAACCTACTAATCATCCCAACAGAATAGCAAATATCAGGTCTGGTATTGCACAGATACCTCAGAGAACCAACCAACTATTTGAAGGTTGTAGCATCCACATCCTTTCCATCAGAGTCAGAATCCAGTTTCTGATTTGTATCTGAAGGTGTGACAGCAATCTTATAATTCTTCAGTTCAAATCTCTTCAGAAGTTCTAATTCATACTTGAGCTGATGCAAAATGATACCTTTCTCAGAATATCTGAACTCCATCCCTAGAAAGTATGTCATTTTGCCTAGATCAGTCATTTCAAATTCATTCATCAGAACTTTCTTGAACTTGGTTATCTCTTGTTCAGAACTTCTAGTCAATAGTATATCATCAACATATAAACATACCAGAGTCATATTTCCTTCAGAAGTATGCTGAACATAGACACCGTACTCCATCTCACATTTATGAAAGCCTTGCTTCTTAAAAAATGAATCAATCTTCTGATTCCAAGCTATGGGCGCTTGTTTCAGTCCATATAGAGCTTTTTATAATCTGTACACCATCCCTTCCTTATTCTTTTTCACAAATCCAGGAGGTTGTGACACATAAACTTCTTCTTCTAGTGGACCATTCAGAAATGCAGATTTTACATCTAAATGCATCAGAGGCCAATTCCTGTTAGCAGCTATTGCAATCACCATTCTGATTGTTTCATGTCTTGCTACAGGTGCAAACACTTCAGAATAATCCAGCCCAGGTTTCTGTAAAAATTCTCTGGCTACCAATCATTCTTTATATTTGCCAATTGAACCATCTGGCTTTAACTTCTGCTTGAAAACCCATCTGACGCTGATGGCTTTCTTGTCTTTTGGAAGTTCTGTCAGCTTCCAAGTCTTGTTTCTCTCTATAGCATCAAGTTCTTCTTTCATGGCCTTCAGCCAGAGCTTCTGCTTAAGAGCCTCTTTTGTACTTATGGGTTCAGAGTCTACTATCATGGCACACTGAATAACTTCTCCTTCAGAGTCTACTTCAGTGTCTTGCAGCATGTCAAATTCTGCATATCTTCTGGGAATGTTTCTGATTCTTTATGGTCTCTGAACTTGTTCAGAGTCTTGAGCTTCAGATGGTTGACTTCCTCCAGAGCTTTGACCATCTTCAGAGTCTGAATTGCCACCAGAATCTGGATTACTACCAGAGTCTGGATCATCAGAGTCACCTTCATCTTTTGAGTCTTCTCCAGAGTCAGAATCACTATCAGAGTCAGAATCAACGACAGAGTTTACTCCAACTTCAGAAATTCTTAACTCTAACCTTTCTTCAGAAGTTCTAACATCAGAATCAGATTGAGACTTATCCCAATTCCAAACTTCTGATTCCTTCACAATTACATCTCTGCCGAATTCAATTTTATTGGTTTCTGGACAATAGAGCTTTTATGCACCTGTACTGTGGTACCCTATTAGAATCATCACTTTGCTTCTATCATCCAGCTTCTGTCTTCTGGCTTCTGGAACATGTTTATAGCAAACAGAACCAAACACCTTCAGATGACTAACACTTTGCTTATCTCTAATCCACTTCTGTATTGGAACTATTTCCTTCAATTTCTTCGTAGGACATCTGTTGAGTACATACGTTGCAGTGGCAACAACTTCTCCCCAGAGCTTCTGAGGAAGCTTCTTCTCCTTTAGCATGTTTCTCACCATATCAAGCAAAGTGCGGTTTCTTCTTTCAGCAAGACCATTGTGTTAAGGGGTATAAGGAGCAGTAACCTCATGCTCAATTCCATTCTCCTCACAGAACTTCTGGAACTCTTTGGAGTTATACTCACCTCCACCATCAGTTCTAAGAATCTTCAACTTCTGACCACTCTGATTCTCAGCCTTCATTCTGAACTTCTTGAATTCATCAAACACCTCATGTTTAAAATTAATAAGGGATACCCATGTAATTCTTGTGAATTCATCAACAAACAACACAAAGTATTTATTCCCTCCAATTGATGCTACTGGAAATGGACCACACACATCAGAATGTACAACTCCCAAGGCATGTTTTGCTCTTGGAGCAGCTTCTGATGCAAATGGCAGGAATTCTATGTACCAACTTTTCAGGCTTCTTAATTGCAGGAATTCTATGTATCAACTTCTTTGAATTCAGATGTTTTAAGCTTCTGAAATTCAAATGACCAAATCTTCTATGCCACAACTCACTCTCCTTCTCAGCACTTGTTGCACTAAGACATTCTGAGTCTGCAGTTCTGACATTCACCTTGAATGTTCTATTCCTTCCCTGTTCTGACTCCATAATCAACTTCTGATTGCAGTCATACAGCTTCAGAAGATTGTCTTTCATGGTAACTGAAAAACCTTTCTCAATTAATTGTCCCACACTCATCAGATTGCTTCTGATGCCAGGTACATACCACACGTTCTGAATCAATGCTGTTTTCCAATTGTTCAGAATCACTCTGACATTTCTCATACCTTATGCATTAAGATATTTGTCATCAGCACATCTGATCTTTGTTCTCTTTTCAGAGTCAAAGTCAACCAGCCATTTCTTGTTTCCAGTAAGATGATTTGAACAGCCAGTGTCCATATACCACCAGTTTATCAGATCCATATTATCATATTCAGAAGCCATCAATAACACAGATTCTTCATCAGAACTTCTGGCTATATTTGCTTCTTCTGTTTTTCTCTCCTTGTTTGACCAACAATCTCTAGCAAAGTGACCAAACTTCTTACAACAGTAACATTGGATCTTCTTCTTGTCATACTTCTCTTTTCCCTTCTGAGCATTCTTTTGTCTATCAGAGGTTGAGCTTTCTGACTTCTGACCACCATCAGATCTTCTCCTGGCTCCTGACTGCTTCTGATACCTCCTATCAGAAGTTGCTTTCAGAGCCTGCTGCTCTACTTCCTTTTCAGAAGTTCTCTCAGTCAAACGCAACTCTTGCGCTTCTAGACTGCTCTACAGCTCTTCAATTCTCATGGTGCTCAGATCTTTGGAATGTTCTATTGCTACCACAATGTAATCAAATTGAGGGGTAAGGGATCTCAATACTTTCTCCATGATTGCTTCTTCAGAAAGAGTTTCTCCACACGCCTTCATCTCATTAGTGATCAGAATCATTCTGGAGATGTATTCAGATACTTTCTCATTATTCTTCATGTTGAGATTCTCATATTGCTTTCTCAAGGACTGAAGCTTCACCTTCTTCACTGATGCGTCACCACCATAGCATCTCACCAGTGTGTCCCACGCAGCCTTTGCTGTTGTTGAATCTGCAATCTTCTCAAACACATTTACATCCACACATTGATGAATGAAGAACAATGCTTTTTGATCCTTCTTCCTTACTTCCTTCTGCGCATTTTTCTGTTCATCTGTTGCATTTGCTGCTACTGGAACATAACCATCAGTGACAAGATCTAGAACATCTTGAGCACCAAACAGTACACGCATTTGGATCATCCAACGATTCCAGTTTTTACCGTCAAATACTGGAAGTTTGGTGTTCATGTTGTCGTTTCCGTTCATCTTCTACCTTGCACAGTACACTCAGATTTCTCACACAGTGTTTCCCAATCCACAGAATTAAAATTCTGATCAGATTTTGTTCAAGATTCAACACGAATCTAAGAATCAAAATCAAACACACAAGACCTCACGTTCACTCATGTTTCCCGTGTTTCCCAATGAATCAGAACCGGAGCTCTGATACCAATTGTTGGTGCAAAGGTAGAATAAATGATGAATAGAGAAATATTCTATTAAGAGAATGACGGCTACACACTACTACAACAATTGCAATGGTTGTTACCCTATTTATAAGCTAACACTAGGGTTACTAGAATAAGATAAAAATACTAAAATACCCTCTAACAAACTTAGGGGCTAAGAAAATAGTACAACTAATAAATATGAATTACTTCTAATACACTTATATTGGAGGGATAATTCTACATCAAATTTGTTCCTCATATTTTGAATTCATGATATACTTTCATATTCCCCCTTTGATCTCTTAATATTTTTTCTCTTATGCAGAAATTATATTGTTCAATGCACCTTGGACTTATAAATTCGATCTGCTGCCACAACGTTGACTCTGCAATTTGAAGGTAGTTACGCCCATATGTCAATGCAGACATACAATAGTCATGTGGTTGAAAAATGTCTTGAAGTATTCAATCACGAGCATCGGGAAAAAATCTTTCATGATCTGCTTTCTGATCCTTATTTTGACCAATTGCTTCAAGATCCACAAGCAAACTATGTCATTTAAAAGGCTCTTCGATGTTCTGAGGTTTGTTCACACACTTCATTTTCTGTTTCATAGTCATGTCTTAGCACTTTCGGAGAATGTTGAGGAGAAACAAAAATAACTTTGACTTGGTTATTAGTGATATGGATATGCCTGACATGGATGGGTTTGAGCTTCTTGAGTTTGTGGGACTTGAAATGGACTTACCTGTAATCAGTACGTGTATGCATACATATGCTACTTTTGTTGAACATTCGAATTAAATCACTAATTTTCTTGGGTTTTATCTTATTGTAGTATTGTCGGGACACAGTGATACAAATATGGTGTTCAAAAGGATTACACACAGTGCATGTGACTATCTACTGAAACTTGTTTGACTTGAAGAGCTCAAGAACATATGGAAACATGTAGTTCGAAAGAAAAAATATGATTTCAATTATCAAAATAAGGATTACAACGAGGATATGATTGTTGATATTTCTGAGGGGAATAGTCAAAACATATTGGAAAATAGTGGTAATCAGAATAAAAGGATCGGTAAAAGAAGGAAGGACAAAGTCGAAGAGGGAGAAGAAGACGAAGACGGCGAAGAGGAAGGGGAAGGGGAAGGGAAAGGGACTGGAGATGGAGATGACTTGTCATCACAGAAGAAACTACGCGTGGTTTGGTCTGTTAATCTGCATAGAAAATTTATTTGTGTTGTTAACAAACTCGACTTGGAGAGTAAGTTTTAGACAATGAAGATATAATATTTTTGATTTTTTTTACTTCAGTGTTTAACAACTTCGTATCTGGGCCTGGTTACTATAATTCCTAATACAAGATTAATTCTCATGTTTGTTGTTGTAGAGGTTGTTCCGAAGAAAATACTCGATTTGATGAATGTTGAAGGGCTTGCAAGGGAAAATGTGGTGAGCCATCTGCAGGTATATATTCTTGCTTTTGTAGCCTGCATAACTGTTCTGTTTATTCACAAATTGAAAGTTTATACTGACGAATTGACAATGACCTAAGTGTTAAGAGCTTTACATCCTCTTGAATGATATCAAATTGTTGAATTTATCTTATTGTCTTGAATGATATCAAATTGTTGAATTTTATCATCCTGTTAATTATGCCTATGCATATGCCTATGTATTCATAGTATACATTAGCCAGATAAACTCACAAAAACACTAGCACATTCAAGTCTAATGTATACTATGAGTGGCATATTCAATTTAATTACAAATCTAATGTACACTAACATATTCAATTTAATTACTTTTTAAAAAAGAAATATTTAATTTAATTATTAAGTTGTTATTGATAAGAACTATATTAATAGTTTTTATTTTAAATGTTATAATAAATTACACTTATATTTGTTTATATTTGTTTCTATAATCAATATTTGATTTATATAGTTGTCAAAATTTATTTGATATTATTTAATATTGATTAAATAATTTTGTATTTCTGTTTTTTATATTTTTATTATATTTTAAAAGTAAATATGTGTAACACATCAGTCTAGATGCGAACGCACGAATATCCATACTAGAATTAGTGCTAACAAACGAGTATTCAAATCAGAATATGTGCGAACACACATGTTATTATAATTGATGTACATTTAAAGAAATAAAAGTTAATATATTTAAAATAAAATATGAATCCAAACACGAACAAAATAATATACGGTTGATCCAAATATTTGTATATATAGAAATAGTATATTTATGTTCAAAATATAAATAAAAATATGTCTTTCTTTTAAAAATAATAAACTATTTTGATAAAACAATTTTGTTTTTCTTTTTTACATTCTTATTTTTTTTTTAAAATAAATGCGTATAACACACCGGTACACATGCGAACGCACAGGTATTCAGACTAGAATTCGTGCGAATCCACTTATTATTACATTTTTTGTACAATTAAAAAAAATAAAAGTAAAATATATTTAAAATAATCTATCAATTTAAACGCGGAAAAAATTTTTATTTTATAATTATTTATGTTATTAATATTTTTATTTTGAAATTATTTTTAATTTAAGAGCACAAGGAGAATCTATATCAATTTATTAATTTTAGATGTCTCACCATTTCACTAATATATATTATTAATGTCAAATGTTATTTTTAAATTAATGAATAAATTTTAATATTTTTTTGTAATTGAGAATAAATTCTATTTAATCCAAATATTTTTAATTTTTAATCCACATATAAATTAAAATATATTTTTCTTTTATAAACATCGGTAAAACAATTTTTTTTTTTTTTAATTTTTAGTATATTTTAAAAACAAGTGTGCGTAACACATCAGTACTCGTGCGAAAATACAAGTATCTCACTAGTTATCTTCTGAAAACTATATCTTTTTTTATTAATCCCAACAATTGAATCTTTTGAAACGGAGAACAATGTTTGAATGAGAATTTCATCCTTTTTCAGTTAGAATCTTTGTTTAGGCGTATTCACAACTGATTCATATGCAACTTCTTCACTAAGGTTAATATTTTCTAAACTCTCTTAAATGCAAAATTGTGGTGTTTCACATTCTTGATCATTTGAATGCATACCACGACTACATATTTGAACCATATGAAGTATATTTGGGGTTAATTGATTGAGATGAAATTTTTTGAAATTAATATAGATAATATAATGTACGATAGGAGTAATTTTTAACATGTGAGTTATTTTGTGAATTCGAGATAAAAAAATAATTTTGAAATTTTAGGTTATTGTATGAATTTGGAATATGAGGTGCATTTCTAAAATACAAATTGTTTTCTTGATTTGAAATACACTAAAGGTTTTCAATCATTTTGTATAAAATTGAACCAAATATTATGTTAATTGGGCTTCATTGTCAAATAAGATGGGTGGAAAAAAATTTCTGTCAAATTTAGACTAGACGTGAAATAGAAATGTAATGAAATGAGTTACCTATTTATATAAATTATGACCATTACAATTGGTTTCAATTTATTGCCGTTGTTGGAATTAATTAATATCAAAAGTTTTAGAAAAAATTAAAAAGAATCCGGTAAAAAATGTAAAGAGCGCTTTTATTACAACTATAAAAAATGACCAATATTTATTAGACAATTCATTTAACTAGACTATAAAAAATTAAAAAAAAATCCGACAATAAAATCTATTTAGATAATATTCATCCAATTCATCCAATAATTTATCCATTCAATTCATCTATAAGACAAATAATAATGTAATGGATTTGATCCAATCCATCCACTAACTCATATGGATGGATTCAATCCATCCATCTCATTTTATAAATCTATCCATTTTGTCACTCCTAATATTGATGCTCTTATTTTCTAAAAGAATAATATATTTTTTTAATGTTGTTTCAGAAGACATAAATTTTCTAGAAGTGTACTTTCAAAAAATACAAATTATTATTTTAGATGTGTATATCCAAACTCATGTTAGTTGTTGCTAACATTACCCCATGACATTATTCTTTTCCTCAGTTTTTGGCTATATTTCGGTGTAGCTTAGAGAATCAGAACTTTCAAGTGTTTTTTAGTAGAGTTTTATTTCTGGCCTGATGAGTTCTCTCCATTATGTTTGACGGGAGGTATATTAAGAGATATACTAAAACCCCGGTCACTTTGTGAAAACAGTTAATAGTTTTCATTTTGTACAAAGTAAACAAGGTGTGAATTCCCCTATTTTAGGAACTGATCTAGAATTTACAACATGTGTATGCAAAGGGAACACTCCCAAGTTATTTTATTCATTCTTGCCCCTTGGAGGCTTTTTCTTGTCGATCTTCTTTAATGCTGAAATGGTGAGTTCCAGAAAGATTCCACTGAGGTTAAGAAGCTATCCCTATATGTCCCCCCAGCTTGTAGCTGTGCAATGCAACTTTGGGTTGAAAAATTACTTCCGCTTTTACAGAAATGTTCATTAAAAGTTTTCAGATACAAATTTCTGGTAGATTGAACAGCGCACTGTTTATTTCTAGCATGATCAATATAACCTAATAGTATATATTACATATGTTGTTCCATAAATCAGAAAGATAATAAAGTTTATAATTATATTCCAGTTCATTTACCTGCTATGCTGCCATGGGTAAGGATAAACATCACCACGGTAACAGGACCACATAATTAATTACCAACTACTAAAATAACATGATTGTGGCAGTCTCTTGATACTACTTAGAGATAGTTTTGCCATAACCAGAAGATACATTCACAACTTCATGATAATATATTTACACAAATTCAACTAACTTAGTGTCACATGAGATGAAGACCCACTAGAATCAGCATCCCTGTATTTTTTAATGGTTGGATTGAGCTGCAGCTACAGTTGAAACCATTGAATCCACTCCACATACATTTCTACCTCTGCAAATCTTGTAGTATCCTTGCTCTCCCCAATTCTGCCCCCAAGAGTTCTTAATGATCCAGTAAGGCTTTTCCTTCAATCGAATGGGAGCATAAGCACCTTTTCCAAAACCAACTAGAAGAACACCATGATCTAGACGCGCTTTGGCACAGACGTATGGGCATGAGACGCCACTCATGTATGTCTGCATCCAGGCCGCATTAATAGCAACTGCACCAAATAGAGTTTAAGTCAGTATTTCTACAATATGCCTTTGAATATGTATCTTGAAGAAAAAAAGATGATCAAACAAATACATGATATATCTAAAATTCTTTTGTGAAGAACAATTAGTTACCTGCAAGAGGGCCATTCTTTACAAGATTTGCAGCAATTTGGTCTTCGTCTAGGGAAACCACACTGAAGTTAGATACGGAAGCAACAACTTTGCTTTTGTCAAATTTGCAGGAGCCATCTCTTCCGGTGTAAGCATAGTCCTTTTCTTGCACTACTCCCCCAGACTCGAGTAAATATTCGAATGCGTTGTTCATCAATCCACCATTACAGCCAGAGTCACATGAGCCAGCTTGCTCTGGATCACACTGCAAGATTTTTACCCATTAATTCATAATTAATATACATCATATAAAGGACAGCACATGGGAATACAAGAAGCAAGGGACTTGAAGCCAAGGACACTCGTGTAAAAATTTAAAACATGAAGACATGGTTACATTACAATAAGGTATGAAGTTACCAAAAGAATTAAAATAAGAGAAAAACCAATATTCTACAAATTAGCACAAATAACTATTGGTATCCTCAAAATACTAAAGTTATGGAAGGTGCTAAGATATGCAAAATGGTTGACACAAGACATGTAATCACTGCATATCAGTTTGTGATCCAACATGTCATGCTCTGAGGTCATAAACCTCTGGTCAAAAACATCCAGCCAACTGAATGATTGAGGGAGTATAAACCACAACAATCAAAAGAGACCAACTGTGCTCCAAACCCCCTAAAAATTGAACGTATCCTCTAGATCACACTCGCATCTTCCAAAATTGTGCTTTTAACTTGTTTTACTTTGATTGGAGTATATTTCCACGCACAAGTCGCCAACAAGGCAGCTAGGAAGAATACAAACAACTAGGAAGGATTCAACTCGTGCCAAGTGGTACAGCTCTGTCTTCAAAGACAGAACACATTAATATCATGTAATTTACTCACTTTAGAATGAAATATAAACAAAAATGATATGTGAAAAAATATGTATTTGGTCAAAAATGAAGACCAAATACATCTACTTTTCACATAATCTTTTAATTTACATCTTATTCTAGAGGGTACATATTTTAAAATCATAGAATATTCAGCACTTAGACAAGAACACATTACTATCCATATAAATTACTCAATCCAAAATGAAATACAAGTAAAAATAGCATATGAAAAGTTGATTTATTTGGTTAAAAGCCAAGACCCCATGAATCTACTTCTCACGTAACCTTCTTTTTACTTATTTTTCATTCTAAAAGGTGCATATTTTCTAATCATAGATTTCTCAGCACATAGAAAACTTTCGTTCCAAAAAAACCAAAGTTAAAGAAAATTATGCTTACCTTTTCCAAATCAATACAAAATATTAGGTTTGATTTTCCTCACGTATTATAAAATTCATTTCATCACATCCAAACAATAACCAACTCAATCAAGAGGTTGGTTCAATTCATTTCAGCAGGTTTGTAATCCATAAACATATAAGCAATAATAAGAAAAAATTAATAACCAGTGAGTATAATTAGAGCAGAACCTCTGAAAAATGAGCCTGAACGGATTATTGGTTTATTTCAGATTCATGAGTTAGATTTAATCAAACAAACAATAGCAGCAAATCATATACAACAACATGAAAAGAGCTAAAAATAATTACTATTAAATAAATAGGAGAAATTAACAAGAGAAAGAAACTAACCACATGATCGCAATCCACAAGCTGTTGTTCGCTAAGGCTTACTAGCTTCCCAGTAGCCAGATAGTGTGCTCCTTCCAAAGCTCCGGTTGTGCTAAACGCCCAACATGAACCACATGAACCCTAATCACACCAAATCAAATAAAATAGTTAAAAACTAAGATAACTATTAGTATTGACTAATTATTAATTAATTATAATTAAGATTTAACTATAACAAGTTGAACATGCCTGGTCCTTGACGGGAGTAACGGCGCCTTTCTCACGCCAATCGAAGTCCTCCGGGAGGTTGGTGGTAGGGAGGATCGGCGCCTTCTGAGCGTGAGCTGGCAAACGGAGACGTTTCTTTAGTCCGAGAAACTGACGGCGAAACTCAGACGCCGTTAAATCGGAAAACTTCGTTATTCCGTGCTCCGCGGTAGGATCGAGCTTCTGGTGGAGCTTCGCTTTGATTAGATTCGACTTGAACACGCCGAATCGGTAATCGTGTTCCTCTTTCGTTGCGTAGCTTTTGCTGAACTTTGACTTGAAGGAAGTGAAGTGATGCTCTGCGTTTAACAAGTGATCTTCTTCGTTGTCGACAACTTGACGGATTATGAAGTCGTCGTTGGTGTTGTCGGTTACGGCGGTTGCTACGGCGGCGAAGAGGAAGAGAGCAAAGATGAAACGGCGATCCATGGTGGGGGAGCGAAGGTTCGTTGGGAGAGAAGAGAAAATGGATTGGGTTGAGAGAAAATAATGAAAATGAATAGCTTAATTTAATGAAAAAGATATCCGTTGCGATTGAGGCACGTGTCGTTATATAAATGGTGGATCTTTTCTGCAACTTGTGAGTGCACTCCTCAAAATACCTACCATGTGGCGTTGATATTGCCATCCAAATTTCTTTTTAAGTTACCCAAAAATATGGGAAATATAGTTCCACTTTCTAATTGCTGTATTTATTTATTTATTTATTTGTGGAAATATCATTTGAAACTTTTACCAAAATAACATATCATTTTTTAAAAAAATTCAAAATATCTCACATTTTAAATTATTTTTTAAAATACTTCAGTTTGGAGTATTGATTACATAGTGGCATCACGTGGATTAGCGACCATTTACAAAAGCTTGAATGATGGCGTCAATTGGATTGGAGGTACCATTAGGTGTCTCCAATCCAATTGGCGTATGGTTCTAATACTTATAAGGGAGTCACCAACTGAGATGCAGACAACCTTAAAAGTAAAATAATTTCCCTATAAATATATGTGTTCTGATAATTTTGTTCTACAACTCATCTCATATCTTTCTTCCACTGATAACATGTATTGTCGTCGGTGGGAAAAAGTGGTATATTTGAGAGAGAAGGGGAAAAAATTCAAGTATCGAGGATGTGAGGGATGGGTTCGCGTTAAGACTGACAAGGATGTTTGGACCGAATGAAATTAGTTTGATTGTTGTAAACAGTTAAAAATGTTTTATGTTTCTTTTTCGTTATCTGTTTTATGTGTCGTATGTGTTGTCTGTTGTTAGTTCGCGGTATGTGTTGTTTGTTGTTAACATTCTTGTAACGAAGACTCATTAATAAATATTAGGTTATAATAATTAAAAGGATAAACTAAATCATGATACAGAGGTTGCTCTGACATTGGGGCAATTTTTTCGGTTGTGTCCGGGCTGACGACATATACTACATAATCTTATCATTTTATTAGCCGCATCCATTTTGGTTCTTATACGCTTGTTGTTTGGGCGTCATTTTTCTTTCTTCACATCTCATCGTTGTGCCAAACTATGTCCCCTTGGTATAGAGGTCAGTATTCTTCTATTGGTAGCACTGTGAAGCCTTCGTTGTAGACATTCATAACATTAATTGCTTTGTAAACATCAGATAGATGACTATAAGCATCTTGACGAGCATGTGCGCATGCCACAATGACATGTGAGCAAGGTACACAGAAGGCCTGGTACTTGTCACAGTCACACCAACATCTATTTAGTTTGACAATATAGGATAAATTTGGCCTCCCCTCATTATGATTCATTGTTTCTTGTACACTAAAAGTTTGCCTATGACGGTCAAAGACTCTAACTGCATGTGTGATGGCTTTGATAGTATCCTCTTTCATCACCTTCATTATGCTTTCACTGAATACTTGACCCAACATTAATACAACACTTTATCTTTTGCCTCTTGTTGCGAAAAGTGATGTCAACCTATAATAGGTTGATCTCACCAAAGAGGTGATTGGAAGGTTTCTAATTTCTTTGAAAACCTCGTTCATGGATTCCACAAGGTTTGTCGTCATGTGGCCCCATCGACATCCGAACTACTCTAGCATGGCCCACACGCTCAGTTTCAACACAAGTTGCCTCATGGAAATGCAAGAAATTCTTAGAGAACCATCTGGGAATATTCTTGAGACTTTAACTCCTCAAACATCTGACGTGAATTAACAACGAGAGGAACGAGTGCAACGAGTGAGGGTGCCTAGGGGATGTGGAACTGGTGGCTGGTATGACCAACCTGGTCGCCAACATTAATTTATGTAATAGTATTTTTAATTAATGATAATGTTATTTATTTTTGTTAAAAAGTTTTACATAATGCATCATGTCTCCATCTCAATTAGCGACTCCCCTTTAATTTTAATATCCATGTGCCAATTGGATTGGAGATACTGCATGGTGTCTTCAATCCAATTGGCGCTACCATTCAAGCTCTTGCGAATGGTCGCCAATCCACATGGCCCCACCATGTAATCTGTTTCCCAAACTGGAGTACTTTGAGAAATAATTTGAAATGTGGGGTATTTTGTGAATTTTTTTTAAAAAAACTAGGTTATTTTGATAAAAACTTCTAATTTATGCATCAAACAAACTATAAGAACACCTTATTATATTCGGTCCCTTAATATCAAGCAAATTCAATGCACCCCCTCGTGTATGTGGTCATTTATAGTTTCATTATTTATTGACGACCTATTAACTTGATTAAGGATTTAGAAAAGTGCATAAAAAATTTTATTTGGAGTGACAATACATGAATACTAAGAAGCTAGTTATACTTGAAATAAACTATGTGCTCCCATTACTAAGGGAGGTAAGACATCATATCTCTTTTCAAAATGAACATGACTGCTAAAATTATATGGGACCTAGTACATTCCAAAAAGCAAAGGGCTTAATTTCTTGGGAATAAAGTCATTATAAATCATGAAATCATAAGATATCACACTTTCCTTCTATATGGGCTGGTATTAAAACTGTTTGAGACCATCTTAAATAATTCTAGTTGGCTGCTAGGAGATGGTAATTATATCAACTTGTAGACTAAATCTTGGTTAGATAAATCAATTGCAAGTATCTTGAACACATATGCCTAATGAAATTCAGCACTCTTCAAGCAAAAATCAAGGAATTTATTATAAAGTCCAATTGGGACGTCCCTCGTCAGTCAGCTCAAATATTTCTTGACCTGATTGAACTCATACAAGATGTCATCATTCCTTTTGAAGAAATAAATTACTCTTTTTATTTAGAAATATATCACTGTTGGTATGCTGACATACAAAGATGCCTGTAGCTTTCATTTCCCAGTTACACTACATTTGATTGGGCAAAGATCATCTAGTCAAAAGACATCTCTCCATCAAAGTCTTTGTTAGTTAGGAGAATTATTCATAACAAGGTAACCACAAATTACAAGATGATCAAGAGAAGAGATGTTTTAATGTTGATTTATTTGTGATCTATGTAATGAAATGACTGAAACAATCAACTACTTGTTTTTGTCCTGCAAGTTTGCTTCCCAATTTGGAATTAGTTATTTAATGTTACAAAATTGTTTCATTTAACTCCATCTAGGACTTCTCAATTCTTAAAGCATTTGATGTAAAATTTCACCCTTCAAATGATGACACAATCAAAGAGGTAATATGACAACCTGCCTTTTTTTTTTGTTGGATGAAATACAACATAGATAATGTTGCACTTGGATCTCCTGGTCAAGGCTCAAGTGGAGGAATTTTCAGAAATAATGATGGCACTTTTGAAGGATTTTGTGCATAGATCATTGGTGTCAGATTTACATTTCATATAAGCGCATTGGAGTTATGAAGGAAATAAAGATTGTACATGAAAAATGATGGCAATCTATGGTTAAAAACAAACTCAAAATTGGTCATTATATCTCTTAGAAATTTTAATATGTTAGAAACAAACTCAAAATTGGTCATTATATCTCTTAGAAATATTAATATATAATACCTTAGTATCTTATGGGAGATTTTCACTAGGGAGCATTGAACATTATGAGACTTTTTTTCTCGAGCAAGACTTTTGTGAGACACACACCACATACTCACCCAAAACCTTAAGGTGATAGGTGTATGTTCTTCCATTTATAAATGCTCAAGTCACCACATTCCTATCTAATGTGGAAATATTATTCTAATTACTCACACTTATTATACTTAACAAATAATAGATTGGTAAATTGTATGTGGTTGACAAAACTTATATTTTTTCTCACATGTATAGAAAAGATAATTATTGTGTAAACAAATTAACTTTATTAAAATTATCTATTTTTGACTAAGTTTGATGGAATAAAATCTTTTGTCTCTTGTAGATTATATGATTAAAAATAGACTAGATTTTTTTTATAGGTTTACTAATTATTATTTTTTGGTTTTGTATATTAATTTTGAAGTTTATTTTGCTCCCTTAACATAAATAAGGTTCAAATTAATCTCTGAACTCTTCAAAGCGTAATATGTTAGTCATTTTCATCTAATTAGCGACGAGTTTAGCGATCGACTTTTGAGTTTTTTCGTCACTAATTACACCAATGGATTAAGATGGTACATTTTGAAAAGTTAAACCATTACAAAAAAAATTGTCTTCAACCACGTGATTTAGTGATGTGAAATTCACGTGGCTAAAAAGGAGGGTTGCGATATGAAAATCACTTCATTAAATATTTAAAATAATAAAATAATAAACGTCAAGTTTTTACATGGAGGAAATTGTAAAATTTTCAAAAAAAAATAGTTGTTACATGTATTTCACCTCGCTAATCAAAATTTAAAAAAAATTGAGTAGAAAATGTTGACTGGTTAAATTGATTGGGTTGACAACTTTATCAGTTTGTAGCGTGATTTTCACGTGGCAAATTTGTGACGTAATTTTTTTGTGGCAAATTTTCTCTTCCCCGCACATTATAGTCTCCCAAAATATCTTTTCACTTCTTATTTTCTCAACATTTCCTCTTCTTCTTTCTCCACCGAATCCCCTACCATCATTCTTTTCTTCTTTTTTCTCCTCTCCACCAATTTTTCTTCCACTAAAAATCAGTATGCCACTATTCATTCAAAAGTAATATTTTTTAATTTTGTTAAGGTTAAAACTATAACTTGTTTTTTTATTATTATTTGATTTATATTTTATTTGTTAACAAACACTCAAGAATTTGATCAAAACTCAACAAATTCTATTGACTGATCTTCGTTTTTTATTTGATTTCTTTGGTATGCATTTTTTTTTTAATTTTCATATATAAAAGTATATTGAGTTGTGGGCTATTTGATTTTTTTTATGTATTGTTGCTATATTTATATAAATATGTTTAATAATTTTTTATTTTTTAAAATCCCAAAATTTTAATTTTTTAATTCTTATATATATTAAAA